CATATTCTTAGAAAAGGCTTTGCTTTAATTATTTCAAGAATGAATTCTGAGCAGGTGAAGGAAATACTGGCTGCAATATGCAACCGGGAAATCAAAGAAAAATACTCTTTTTTTTTTAAGTGAACTCATTAAAGATCTGATAGCTTTAAGTTGTGGTTGCTTTGACTGGCACTGTAGATTTCTGGTTAGAAATCCTTGGTGCTTCCCTTCCATCAGGGGTTGCTGCTTTCACTGCTTCACAGGTTTTTATGCAGCAATAACTTGCACCTCCAGAGTGGAACTGTAAAGAGAGGTTGGTAGAAGGTGCAGCCTCCCCACAGATATTTGTGATGACAGAAAGCAAAGGGAATTTTGTGCCTCAGCCTCCCAACACACAAGCTGAGGTGTGAGAGTATTTTTGACTACAAAGACAAGAAAAAAGAGAAAGGTGTGGATAATAAAGAGGAGTGGAAATGCCACAGAAATAAATGCTTATAAAACAGCTGTAAACAAAGTTAAGCTTGAAATAAGAAGTTTGCCAAAATAATTAGGAATTGTTTCTGTCCCTGATACAGATGAGGAACAGCACTGGGATGTGAAGGGGGGGGGCTTTAGAGTGTTTGGAATTTGGAGTTAAAAGAGTTGAGAGTTTTAGCTCATGTCATACTATCTAATGGAAAAATAAACCCGTCATATTTCCAGTAGCATTTTTTACCTTACTGACTGAAAATCTCAGTGGGGGTATGGAAGTAAGAGCTGAACTTAAACCCAAATGTCCATCTCATGCTTTGCCAGCTGTCACTGTAATGTGGCAAAAGCTCCTCACCTGGTTTGCAGTCAGGAAAACAGCCTTAGCAAAGGAATACAGCACAATGTATATAGTAAAATGTTATGTCAGTTCCCTGCAAGCCTAATTCTGCCTTTCAAGAAAATCCATGAGGCTGGCTCGGCTAACTTGGATCCACAGAAGTGGGGGATGGAAAATAATATCTTAAAAAAGAAAGTCCCTTTAGTAGGCTTTTTAAAATATATATTTAAAGGGAAATTAGTGTCTGACTTTAAGACAGGAGCATTTCCTTTTGCCATTTTAGAGTAATTTTTAAATTGATTTGCCCATTTAAACAATGCAGGCTGAACTGGTTATTGAGAATATTGGGATTTATCAAGACTAAATAAGACAATTTTCTATAGAACAGATCCTGTGTAGATTAGGCAGGGTGACCAGCTGAGGAAGAGTGAGCCCATAGACAAACCCTCACATAATGTGATTTAATATGAATGCTGGGATAGAGGGGGCTGAATGGTTTTTATCTTTGTGTGCCCTGTGGGGAACGTTCAGTGTGAAGTTTGGAGAGGATTTCTGTGGCTTCCATTGAAACCACTCCTTCAGGTGAATCCCTGCATTCTCCTGAGCAGTCATTCCTCAGGGATGTTCTGTGTCAGACACTCATGAGTCTCAGATGCAAAAGGCAATCATCTTGGTTGCCTAAAGCTCTGTACATGCCATTAATATCCAATCACTAAGGAGTGAAAAAGCACTTATGCAGTGGGGTGAGATGCACTTTCCCTGACTACAAGGTGAGAAATTGATAAAATTCCTTTCCTGCTGTGAAATCTCCTCATTGCTTATATTTTACTGACTCTCCTGAAGAAAATGTAATAGCTTTTAATTTACTTGGACTTTGGTTGGCACTGTAGTTCAATCCATTTCAAACATGTGAGCTCAATTTATTTTTAACCAGCTTTCTTATTACATATTTGTAAGGAGATAATTAGCAATGGTCACTAGAAGTGCATGTTACAAAGAACTCAGCACAGTGAACATGAGCTCATGATTTCTGTCAATAAAGGTTTCATCCCCACAGTGCCAACAGTGTGATTTCACTCACACCAGCACAGTGGATATTGAACAAAATGGCTGATAATGGATTTACAGTGTTTCTTTCCAAGCCATATTGATCCTGATGATAGGTAAGATGTGGCAGGGAGATTGTGCTTTTTTTCTGTCTTGGTTGGATGTGTTCAGTTTGCTCATTTGGAGGGATTAGAACTCTGTGGTTTAGAATTGTTGGGAGATCACTTGGATCATCTTTCTCACACTGAGTTTCTTAGAAACAAAAGCTTTGCCATGTCTGGTGACACAGATATGAAACATTAACTTCCAGCCCTGCTGTAAGTATCTGTACATATCAGAAATATGCTCTGAAATACAAACCCCTCATATTCTGAACCTCTTTGGTTCATATCCCCTGTATTTTGTCTTTGTATTTCCCATCTACACCTCATGTAAAATCAATGTGACAGATGCCAGCACAGATCTGAGATTCATTAAAAGGCCATTAACTGTCCTAAAGGGATGTTTATAGATAGCAGCACTGTATATTTTGGGCTGTCAAAACAAATTGACCAAATGTCTTCTCTGTAACCACCCTGCAACTACAGCAGGCTAATGACAAAATTCCATGCCTGGCATCCCTCTAAATCTAACGCAAGAAAGGGGTTAGTTGAAGTGTCTGTGGGGATAATCACATTGAATCACAAATGAAAATTGTGATTCAGAGAAAAGAGCAAATACTAATATCCTAAGGCATTTTTCATAGATTAATTTACCAGCAACATTTTTTCTACAAATAGTATTTTATATAAACAGTGATTTGACTTCCAGCTGGAGAGTTGGGAGTGGGCAGGCCTGAACAGGGAGCTCTCCCTCAGCCACAGACATGGGGACTGACTCTGTGCTTCATCAGCCTTGCCCTTAAATCCCTTTTCCACTAATTCTGTTGTTTAAAGCTCAGCTATAAAACCTAACTAACCACCCCTTGGCCAAATAAAGATGTTGTGCTTTCTCCTGAAACCATTTCTGGAGTGTGGTGTGGCAGGAGTGGTGTAAGCAGCTGCACAGTCCTGTCTGGCCGCTGGAATGCAGGTGGCCTTGAAGCACCAGGTGGATAAAGGAAATTATCCTGGCAGCACCCACTGCTTTTAAGTCACTGAACTCTCTCACTTCAAAGATTTTTAAGGGTTATTTACCAGTGCAGTTGCTTTCCTTGCTGCTCTTCATTTCTGTTCTGCTGATGCCACAGCTGCATTATTAGCTTTTGGCCATGCTAGTTTAGCTTTAAATTACATCTTGCCCTCCAGGAATTAGGAGGAGGAATTGCATTCATTTAGGTAGTGCTATGTTTCAGTAAACCTACTCTTCAAAATATTATCCTATGCAATGAGATCGATCCCAGGGAGTTAATATTTTAAATGCACAAGGTCAGGCATGTCTTGTTTCTGCTTCCAGGCTGTGTTATGCCATGCAAGAGAATATAAAGGAACCTTTCAGGCTTTACATAAGGCAGTAATTCAGACAGTGCCTCTCACCCAGTGCTTTTCTGAACCATCGCAATGGTCTGGAGAATGCATTAATAGCAAGTTTGAAAGTGTCCATGTAGCTTTGCTTTCAGCCATCTGCTTTCCTTGAAGTTCCCCAAGTTGTGTTGCTAAGATATAAAATTTACTAAGATTTTGATGATTTGCCAAAGCTACTTTTTCTAAATTATTTAACTGCAATGGCAGTGAGGAAACAGCCAAACCCTTCACAATAATCTTTACTTTAGACCTGTGATGCAGAGCTGTAATTACTGGGATGAGCAGTATTGTCCAGTGTGGCCAGAGTGGATCCTCAGGGACACAGCCCAGCAGGGAACCTGGAGGTGGCAGTGGTTGGACACCTTTATGTGTCCCAGAATATTCTGAGAACAGGTAGGACACAATAAACCCTTGCCAGTCTTGTCACAGAGCCACTGCAGAATTTACTGCAAACTGTGGATAATCTGTGCTGTCCCGTGTCACTCATATCTCCTTCAAACACAACTCCATAGAAATGGAAAAACCTTCTCTGTGGCTGTTTCAAACTGAAATGGAAGCATCTTTTGGTTTAATCTTTGATGATCTGTCTGCTAAAGAAATATATTGTCAGTTTGTTCTCAGGAATCTGGCCAGCTGCCCACTCAGAGTCTTGCTTAGGTGTCAGCTGGTTGCCTTTTATTAGTAAAGACTCGTAGGTGTGGGCCCAAAATCCAGTCTAAATTCCTAAGTGGATTTATATGAAATTCTACACATTTAGATGCCAGGCTCAGAGTAATTTCTCACATGGGAGCTTTCTGCTAAAATATTTACACAATCCCTAGAAGCCCATTAGTTGGGGAGTTGGTAATACATAACTGCTGCTTGTATAACACGCCTAGAATAAACAAAGCAAAGATCCATGTCTGGTGTGCTCATAGTGCTGAGCTGCTCTATATCACACTCAGAAAAGGGCTGGTCTTATAGTGCTTTGACTCAAAAAGAGTCTTCTTAAAAGGAAATAAAAAAAGAAAAAGAAAGGGGGGCATGGATGTTCAGCCTCTGTTTACTGATTGTAAGACACAGCACTACAGAAAGCTTGAAGTGATGTTCTGCTTAAAATGATTTCTGTTGGTTCATTGGAGGGAGCAAGTGAATTCCTTCATTGCTGGACCTCAGGGGCCTGAGGCACATAAAGGAGATGCCCATGGCCCAAAGTGCAGCTCCTGTGGCTCAAGAGGCTGTTCCTGTACCCTGTGAATGTGAGCACACCATTTAGGAGCTGCGGTATAATTTCTGGAATTTTGTTTTTCTGTTTCCTCTGATCTGAACACTCTCAAGGTCAATAATAAATGTAACTTGGAAATTCTTGGGAGAAGTATGCATTTTTGACTTTGAAACTTTGACTTGTAAATGCATTTCTTTCAAGGAAAGATGTTTTTAAGTAATTCTACTTGTGTGTTTCATTAGTATATCATCACTATGATAAATTTTAATGAGAATATCACTGAATGAGAATTTCTGTCCACACCTTTATTTAGTAAAACTGTATTCTGCTAAGGAAAACTTGAACTTACACTCAAGCTAGACAAGGTCTGTCTGTACTCAGAGTTTGTGTGAGCTGAATTTTTGTAGCAGGCTTTGCCAGTGCAGGACTGTAACCCTGAGAATGTCAGGCAAGTACTTACCATGGAGGTGGATCAGGATACATGATGTTCACCTGAGAAAGTATATCCAGGTAGGAGTCAAAATCACAGGCAGGGGGGAACTCCTCGCTGCAGGTGGATCTCAGCTCTGTGGAGGAGCCGCCGTGGGAGAAACCATCTGGAGCTGCAAAACAAGAATTTATATTGGCTGCTCTTCCCCAACGTGCTGGATCCTCTGTCACTCATTTATAACTCTGCCACAAATCAGAAAACCAACCCTTTTTGAGGCAAAGGAGTTGTGGGTATTTTGGAGCAATCACTTTTTATGGGAATTCTTATTTCTTTAAGAATAAACAAAGCCCATCTGTAGATGAGCTGTGGTGTTTCAGGCCGTGGCACAGGGTCTGTGCCTTTAGTGCTGTCCTACAACGCAGCTGGAAGTTCCAAAGCCTTTCTTGGGCCTCAAAAGCTGAAAAGGAGAGTGGGTTCTACCATGTGCAGCCTCAGATGTTTGTGGGGTAACTGCAATTCCAGCAGTTGCATCCATGGGAAGTTTGTCCATTCTGGGAGGGGTGTAAAAGGAGGGGCAGGGGTTTAATTGCTGAGAAAACATTGATCTCAATAAACACTGACAAAAATGGGGAAAGGTGGAAAGTAGCACAGAAAAAATCACCCTGCTGCCTGCTCCAGGGATTTCTTAATGCTTCTATGCAAGAGCTTCCCAGATCCACAAATACCTGAGAGTTCAGTGCTATTTTCTGTGTTGGAGGATAATTAGCGTATGTGTGCGTCCATGTAACATAATGTGGCACAATTCAGTTTAGGATTATTCTTTTGAGTATCTCCCCAAATATGCTTTTCTTTTCCATTTCTCTAGCATTGTTATATTGAACAAGGACTTCGAAAATTTTCCTGGTTTTGTCTGGCTCTAGGCTTTTTCAAGGAGATTAAATTATCAGAGTAGTAGATTTAAACACACTGATTAAAGCTTAATGGTCAGTAGTTTATCATACCAAAATATTGGGTCAAACAGTAACTCCAGTTTGGGTTTAACTATTTAATCCTCAGTGTAGCTGCTGAAAATTAGGAAAATTGGTATTACTGTAATAGTAGACATTAACTTTCTGGATTTTGTTTTTATTTTTCCCTCTGAAGGTTGCCATGGGAGTTTGCATTTCAATTCTTTTGGACTCTAATTTTTATTCCCAAAATATAGACATTATTAACTTATCTGGATAAATATTTCTGGAAAAGCCAAAAAAGAAATTATTCCTTGCTCTAAGGGGACAAACTGATCCTAGGAGATTTGTTTAGTTTAGACATAAAAATTCCTGGTCAAAATAACTAAATGAAGTTCAGTTGACTTCAATGGATACTTGATTTACCCCAGTGAAAACAAGATTTAAGCCAATGCATTTTTATGTGGCTCATTATTATTGGCTTTTGTATATGAATAAAAACACCTTCAATGATATGCACAGAACTGCATCCATAACAAGCTGCAGGTAGAGGACCTTGCCCACAGTGGATGTGGTTGTTGATGCTCCACCATTTGTCATTGGAAGTTTACTGTCTGAAGAATTACACAGTAACTTTTAAAACTGTTCTTTCCCTTAAATAGAAATAATCTTCTGTCATTTCCTTGACATAGCAGAGCCCAAAGGGCTGGAAACACTACTCTAAAATTAACTCCCTGATATTCCCAAATTAAGGTTTTTTGTTATGTGTTGGTTTTGTTTCACGGGTTTTATTTTGGTTAGGAGGTAGGAATTGGCACCTTTTTGAGTCTCTTAACGATGATGGCTGTGGTGACACGGATGTCATCAATGACACCGTTAATGACGGTGAAAATTTAATGATATTTGGGCGCCCTGTTGTTCTGTTTCCAGGCAAATATTCACTTTTTCCCTCAGGCAAACAGCAGTGATTGTTGTAGGCTGGTGCACTTGGCTGAAATGAGACCAGCTCTGCCTTTCCAAGAAATAGAAATTGCAGCAAATGCTGCACCGAGGCTATAGAGGGATGTGAGAATGCAACAGAGAATAAATCTTATCCCACACCGAGGGAAACGAGCTGTTCGGGAGGTGCTGCCAGCACTGGCCGAGTTCTGTTAACCATTATCTGGGTGGGAAGCCAGCACAGAGCTGCCAATAC